ATTACTGTTCTGTCAAATAAAGATCTAAAAAATATGTGCCTTTTCTCCAAACCAAGATTTAACCGAGATTTGTTACTCACCTTTAAAGTTGCAGCTAAGAGGTGTCTGGGTCACCTGTTCCCCCTCTGAGTCCAGACCAGGGATGACCTTCACTGCTGACTGGTTTGATTTCTCCTTAACCCATTCGTCCCTTGTGCAGGAAGCTGATTCTCCAATTGGGCCACGATTTCCAAATTCTCTAGAAGGGAGTCTGGGCCAAAAGTCTGTGGGTCCCGATCCAAGAACCCCCCTTTTCTTCTGTGGAGCTCAGGGCCACATCCTCACTGGTCTCCTGCAAAGAGGAATGAGAAAGGCTCAGATGCTGAGCATAATCTATAAATGACCTGGAGGCAGGAGGAGAATATGGAATTATTTGTTGAGGATACAAAATAGTGGAGATAGAATCGTGATTTGAAGAAGATCTTGATGAGCCAAAATGGAAGAAACCAGAAGATGAAGTCCAACAGGGACCAATGTGTGGTTGTGAGTAAGAAAACTCAGTGGGAAATGAGAGAGATCAGGTGGGGCAGAGCATGTGTGAAAAGGGCTGCTCTTTCTTATGCTTTTGGGAGGCTGCAAGGCCACAAAGATTCCAGGTCTCTGGAGCTGCCTCGGATAGGCATTTTGAAAAATATTTAAAATTATGTAAGGCAGCTTTCTAGCCATCAGCTTGTTCTATTACCTGCTTTACAAGACCAGCCTCAAAACTTCCTCAGAACTTTGTATGCTTTGTAAAACATCCACCAAGAAGGGGCTGCCTCATCCCAGCCTCCTCAGGGCCAAACAAGGAAAATATTGCTTTTTAGAGATTCCACACAGCTTTTTAAAGCAGGAGAAAAGTAATCATTCACATAAAAACGAAGGGTTTCCCTGCTGGTCTTTTACGCTGAGCACAAAAAAGAGGATCTCACCTGGGTTAAGAAAACAGGAGCTCAATTCAGTCAATTTCAGCTTCTTTTCTTTCCCCCAATCCTTCCCCTCCCCCTTGCAATGAGGTCAATTGCCTTAATACCACATTACAAATCTCCATAAATGTTTTAAAGCTCCGCTTACTCCATTTTTGCAACTGTACGTGCGAGGATATGCATGCTCGGAAACCTCGAGCTCTGGCGGACCACAGAGAAACCTTCTAAAAGCAAAATCCCCAGAGCTCCTTCCCGGATCCACCCGGAGCCCCACGGGGATCCTGGGCCGGGCGAGGAGGGGGTAGATCCAGCCCGGGGAGGGAGGGACCCCCTTTGCCCCCCTGGAGGGAAGGGAGGGATCCACTCCCTGCAGGCGACGCCAGAGCAGAATCTCCCCAAGGAAAACCCGGGAAGCCGGAGAGGCGGATCCGCAGCTACCTTTCTCCTGGCGGGGGGGGGGGGG